CTTTTTGTAGAATTAAGAGTTATTAGGTATATTTATTTTTATATTTATAACATAAACACGAATAAAAATAATTTATCGGTTACAACAATAATTCGGATATAGCGATACTATTTTGAAATGAAAATGGGTTTTTAATTTTTATACTCGCGTATAGCGATTAATAATACAAGCACTAATAGTAAATTTGATTTCGTTAAAGCAATAATAATTTCTTAATTTTATCTGTAACAGAAAATGTGTCTAGTACGACACGTATATTGTACACAACATACTTATTTAAAGTAACGTCTATTTCGGAAATTTGTTTTTATATTGATCAGGTGCATATTTTTGTTTCGGTAAACGGGTAAACAGCGATATAAATACGCTAGAAGTATCAATGGCATTAAGAAATATTTCTAATTTAATTAAAAAATCTTATTCAAATTATAAACAAAGCTCTATAAAAGTTTATTTTTCAGAAAAATCGTAAACATATATGTACTATGTGTGTGTATACTTTTATTAAAAATTTTAAGTACCTCTAATATTAAAATATGTAATATTAAATAAAATAATACAGTAAAAAATGTGTTGAATTAATTAATTTTTCAAAAAAATTAAATTACTTTTTATAATCCGGATATAACGATTAGATTCTCTAGGTCCCGTGAAGATCGTTAGTAGGATAAAATGGTATGTACTGGAGCCTGAACCCTAAACCCTGAGCCGCCGCCGCCGCCGCCGATCACGTGACATACATGTTATCAGTTATATTATTTTTATATACGTACTCGGCTTATATTTTACCGTCATTATTGTTATCAATCATACATTTGAATTTAATCATGCATAAACATATATTTTATATTTTTATGTGCTACCGTATTCAAATAAATGACTATTTAGAAATTCGTACGACCTGCTCGTGTCGCCAGGATGTCGTAGACTTTTAATAGCCACTATCTTAACAATAAAAGACATTTTACCACTATGGCGCCTTGCAAACATTATACGTTTTCAATTAAATATCGATATTCACACAATACCTTGTAAAAATGCAACATAATCATATGAATATTCTCACAACGTATAGTTGTGTACTTGGTGAAATAATATACAAAAATGTACATTAAACCTAACCCTGATACGATCTGCTTATTGTGCCCGACCGGTCGCCAGGTATGTTTTTATTTTCAAAATTAATTTTAGTATTTTTCGTTCGCTCCGTCTTTATAAATTTTAGCGAATTTTAAAATGTGTGTTTTTATTTTCAAAAATAACGAAACCGGGGGACTGCACTAGGCTCATGCGTGCCTTCTTTGCCCTAGCAGCAGACATAGTATTTGCGGTGGAAACACGTTTGCCATTAATGTCCGCAGTTACATATCCATCTTTTAAAATAAAAAACCTAATTAAAATCTAATAAATGCAGAGAGGGTTTCTTATCTAATATAGCTAATAAATAAAACTAACTTGTAATATTATCTGTTAAGTCATGATTTTTTTCAAAATCGTCCATTGCTTTCATACAAATTTCATCATCATCAGAACAAAAGTCTACAACATCTCTTGGAGCGGATATAGGCTTGGGCACGTTAATCATACCTTTGAAAAATATAAATTAAAATAAATAAGATTGTGAAAAAATAAAAATACATACCATGAATATTCTTTATATGTTTTTTGAGGTTAGTTTTGTAGCCGAATGTCGACGGACAGATAGTGCATGCAAATCGTATCCCGTTATGTTTTTTTTCATGAACTCTCAAATTGCCCTTACGCGTGAACGTTGAAGAACACTGTTCGCATTTAAACATGATTATAATGTATAAAAATTAAACACTTGGAAAACACAGAGTGCGAAATAATGGTAAAATAAACACTGTAAAAATACGGTTCAGTAGAAAGCGAAATTTCCACGCACGGGCATGGGTGTCGAACACAGACTGATTCAAAAACGCGGATGGACTTGTATTTATAAAAATATATTCCATTATCAATACTGGCGACAATAATAAGACATTTTTCAGTATTAATGGATTTTACTGGAATTAAAATATATAGCGACTATTAAGGGTCTGCGACATCTGGCGACGTACGTTCTTCATTGATTATCGATGAATTGAATATGGGATATGTGAGAGGTGGTGGTGTAGAGGGGCGCAGCCCGTTTCGCCCAAAATCGACCTTTCCCGTTTCGCCCAGATACCCGTTTCGACCAAAGCCATTTTAGTCGTTTTCAAATTAAGTTGGCAATGGTTTTTAAATAATATAAATATATAATACATATATCATTATTAACTCTTATTATTATTATTAGCTATTTTTAAAAAAAGTCATAGAAAAAATGTTTATAAAATACATCTTATTTAATTATACATTATTACAGTAATAATACAAAAAAACACTATATTATTTTTTACTAAAAGTCATCATAAAATATATTAACAAAAATTATTATTATAATTTCTACTCATGCTTTTTACAAACTCATATCTAGTAATTTCACCAGATCTATATAAAAGTATACGTTTTTCGTTAAATTCTTGTCTTTCCTTCGTTTTTTTATCTTTTGTTTTTTTGGGAATTTCAACGCTATTCATTTTGATGTACGTTTCTGTCTGAATATCATTGCGTATAATATTTAACCAGCTTATGATTGACGGAGAGTTAGAATAAAAGTTTTTATTGAAATATGAGTGAAACGATTCACACGCATTTGTTGTGAGCTGTATACTCGCCGAATTACATGCCCATAATGTTGGACTAAAAACACTGTCCTCAGAAATATAGTTTTCTACTAAATAATCACAATACTTAACTAATTTTTCGTCAGTTGGACATTCAGCCATTAAATCTTGAGTAAAGCAATCAGATACTTTAGAAGGTTCTAAAAATATTAAGCCAAAAGTATGTTGAATCCAATTACCAATACTTGTATTATTTTGGTATTCAGTTGCTAAACCATATTTTTGAACGTTCCTATACCAAGCTTGTGTAAGGTGAAAACGGCAACCAACTATTTGCGACGAAGGCCAAACTTCATTGACTGCTAAATGAATAGCTTTTTCAAAGTCAATAGTAACAAATTTTGGTATAAAAACTAGGACTAATTCTTTGCATTTATTTACTATTGATTTAAAAGTATACACATATGTTTCATATTTTTTGTCCGGAAGTAAAATAAATATTAACGGTATATAATGACCATTTTTAAAACCATGTATACAAAACATTTGCTCAAAGAATTTAGCACAAAATTGGAACGCGCCGTCCATATAAATTGTTTCCACAACATTACATAAAAATGTAAGGTTAGTTTTACAAGAAAAGATTATTATGTTTTTTATTTCATCATTTACTAACACAAATGGTTCGTTTTTTGTAGTAAAAGTGGTTTCTGGTGTATTTAGAGCCATATGTGCTTCAGCTATAGTAGTTGGAATAAGAGGAAGAACTTTACGCCTACTTCTGTAAATTGATTTTCTAATCACATTAAAATCATTTGAAGTAAAACCATCAGTAAGTAAAGTGTTTTCTGATAACTCTTTTAAAATGATTTTTTTTGGCTGTATGTAAAGATTTTCAGTAGCTTTTCGTTTACATGAAACACTTACTATTTGACGATTTATTTCTGAATCACTACACGAATTATGATTATGTCGAAGCTGGTCAGTGTTTAAAATATCCTCTTCATTCACCACTTTAAAATTAGACGTGTATAATGTAGCTGAACACGTACGTTTCACGCATCGCCAACGAATTTCATCAGTACTTACATTTTTTGAAGCGAAATTGTACTTAAATTTATTAAAAGCCACCATGTCCTTATCTCGCTTACTTTTTATAAACATAGCCATCATTAAAATTTAAGCTAAAACTGTTCACAACTCAATAACTAACGACTTCTAACTTATACTACGTCACTTAGGTAACTGTTATATTAATGTGGGAACTCCTTCAGTCGACTAACATGTCTTTAATTTGATGTTATCGGAAGATAGTATGTGATCGCTACAATTACGAGTCTATAATGACTATAATATAGCAGTCTATAGTATAATAAAATATACTGTATTCCAGCGGTTCCCAAGCTGTGCACCGCGGTGCCCTAGGGGCACCGCCAGCACTTTCTAGGGGCACCGTGGTCTACGTTTCATTGGTTCTCAATGAGTACTTTTTTTGTTCCATCTTTCATGTTATATACAGCAGGGCACCGTGGTTAACATGGTGCCCCTAAAAGGGCACCGCGTTCAAAAAATGTTGGGAACCGCTGCTGTATTCGATAACGATAAATGAAACTCAAACACTTATTATTTTAAAATAGTTTTTAGTGGACAATATTAATTGGTCATTTGTAGGGCTGGGATCTAAATGCTCTAAAAAATCTTGAAAAATTCCTATAAAAAAAATGCAGAAATGACTTAAAAAATCCAAAAATGCACTATAAAAAACTAATTAGTTACTAATAACTGAGATAACTTGAAATAGATACCTATATAGCGATAACGTCGGTAATTTGAGCGGAAAGTCCTGGCTATGATAAAATTGTTATCGACGAAAACTTGTCGTGCTATATAATTAATTATTAGAACCGACGGCAGATTGACAAAAGTCTTTTGTTAATCACTACAGTATTTTCGTTCATTGACATGTTTTTATGAACAAATTGTAAAAAATGCTCGTCAAAAAAATACTTTTAAGGTTAATTTTATCAAAAATGCTATACAAAATTACTTTAAAAAATAAAAATAGCTAATAATAATAATATGAGTTAATAATGATATATGTATTATATATTTATATTATTTAAAAACCATTGCCAACTTAATTTGAAAACGACTAAAATGGCTTTGGTCGAAACGGGTATCTGGGCGAAACGGGAAAGGTCGATTTTGGGCGAAACGGGTGCCGCCCGTGTAGAGATATACATGAGTCGGCGACATCCTGGCGCCCGGTCGGGCACAATAAGCAGATCGTATCAGGGTTAGGTACATTTTTGTATATTATTTCCTCAAGTATACAACTATACGTTGTTGTTAAAATATTTTTATAATATACATTTAAGTATACGTTGACGAAGAGTCGGCGACATCCTGGCGACCGGTCGGGCACAATAAGCAGATCGTATCAGGGTTAGGTACATTTTTGTATATTATTTGTGTATTATTTTATTTACTCGTGGTGGTGGTAACAGTAGCATAATTTATATGATTAAGATATATTACTGTTTTAGCCGGTAAGTTTTTGATTACTTTATTGGATAGAGTTCGAGACCAGGGGGTTTTGTGTTGGCTAGTTTTTTAATATTTCTCTTATTTCAGCTGGCGAGATAGGTTGCAGATAAGGTCATTATTAGTAAAGAAAATAGTGACTCTATGACCATCTTTTGGTGCAGAAGTGGTAATGAGATTGAGTTCGGTATGAATACTGTTGATAGTTTTTTTAGCTATAGTGCGGTCAGCGAAATTAGAAGCTTGACGGTCACGCTCCTGGTGGCCGTTTTCGTGAAAACCAGGGGCTCTAAATATTTTAGTTGCTTGTGTAGCTGTGCGATCTTTTTTTCGAAATTGAGCGTTCTTCGTACCCTTGATAAAAAACGGCCACCAGGAGCATGACCGTCAAGCTTCTAGTTTCGCTGGCCGCTCTATAGTTTAATTATGCTTGTATATAAAGATTAAAGGTGGCTAAGGTATTTGATTTTTGTTCCAGTGTCAATGGGTTTTCTATACTTAATAATTAATATACATTATTGTACGACGACTATTGTCTCTTTCGGTCAAGAGTCTCTTTAAAATTAGGATATTATATGATGGGAGTGAATGAATCATTTATATGCGAATTAATTGTATTGCTTTGCAAAGAAAATTATTAGTAAATATATTAAGTATCAATTGGGATTTCTATACATTTCCGTGTTAGTAGATTTCTACTCTATTAACAATCAATAGAAATTGCTATTTTAATAATATTGTTACTAATGGGTTTTCTATACTTAATATACATTTTTGTATATTATTTTCCTAAGATCTATCCTATTAAGAATCAATGGAAATTGCAATTTTACAAATGGGGTTTTTATACATATTCATGTTAGCGGATGTCTTAACGACTATCAATAGAAATAGGTTTAGATCCAGGATCTATATTTATCAATATATTCTTTGGGTATAGACCTACCTGGTTGTGTGACAATACTGTCATTATAGTGCCAATGGGTTTTCTATACTTAATATACAGTTTTGTATATTATTTTCTCAAGTATAAGATGGAACTATACGTTGTTAAAATATTTATTTTTATAATATTCGTCCAAGTAAAAGATGACGAAATAATATCACGTAGGTGATATGTATGTTGTCATATGGGCGCGAAAAATGATAACTGATACAACATCATTTTTGATAACTGATTATGCTAATCACGTAAATGTGGCGGACGTGGTGGCAGGGGCAGATGTTTACGGGTCTGGTGGTGATGGTATAGGGGTGGTGTGAATACGTCACACACGTAGCGGATCAGGCGGCGGACTAGTGAATAGAACTAGGGATTAGGAGGCAGAACTCTCCTTTTTATACTACTTTAACTGAATTTAGCTTCGAAGAAGAAAAAGAGCTAGCTGAAATACAAAATAATCAAACTCTTTTATCAAAATACAAAAATATTCCATTTTTTGGATTCATATTGAAAAAATACACTCTGAAATTGGCAAAAAAGTTCTAAAAATATTACTGCAGTTTTCGACGTCATATTTATGTGAACAAAGATTTTCCATTCTTGTAAACATAAAAACCAATAAATGAATAAAAATAGAGTTCAGTGAAGAAGAAATGAGAATATGTCTTTTAACTATTCGACCACGAATAAGAGATTTGTGTAAAAAAAACAAGCCCAAGTGTCACGTTATTTCCATAAGTTCTTTAATTTTTGATTAATCTTGTTAATAAAATAATATTATACAATAATAATTAAAAATGAAAACGATTAGTTAATATTTAATGTAA